CTTCTCACGTCTGGGTGTTTTCAGACTTCAAACTGGCTTTGAACTTCCACCCATTCAATTCTACATTGGCTCCCAACTTGAATTGATTCCATTTGAAACTTGCTCTGAACTTCCACCCATTCAATTCTACATTGGCTCCCAACTTGAATTGATTCCATTTGAAACTTGCTCCCAATTTCAATTTCTCTGAACTAGCTCCCAATTTCAATTGATTTTGATTTCTCTGAAACTGGCTCCCAATTTCAATTGCTCCTGGCTCCCAATTTCAATTGCTTCGAACTAGCTCCCAATTTCAATTACTATGAAATCGGCTCCCAAGTGCAATTGCATCTCAATTTTTTGATTTCTCTGAAACTGGCTCCCAATTTCAATTGCTTCGAACTAGCTCCTCCCAATTTCAATTGCTTCGAACTAGCTCCTCCCAATTTCAATTACTATGAAATCGAACTAGCTCCTCCCAATTTCAATTGCTTCGAACTAGCTCCCAATTTCAATTACTATGAAATCGAACTAGCTCCCAATTTCAATTACTATGAAATCGGCTCCCAAGTGCAATTGCATCTCAATTGCCACCCAATTTCCACTTGTAATCGGCGCCCAAAGCTTTAAACTAGCGCCCAACTCCATCAGATTAATTTAATTTGACTTCTCAAATTTTACCTTGTAAAATTGTTAATGGTGAGTTTCGAACTTGAACCATTTCAGATAATAAATCAAGCATCATCCACTTTATCCGTACAGCTTTTGATTAAATCTCCAATCATATTTGATGTACTTCTTTCTTTCCATAGATGCTTGATCTCCAAGTCAACTTCATGCATTCTTCCAATATTAATTTTCTTCACGAAAATTCTTCTGGGATATCTTCTTTGAGTAGTGGCGACGTGAATATTGTATCATTCATCTTCTTCTTCAATTTGTCATTTTCTCCAGACAAATTCTTGATTTTCGGCTTTATATCTTCTTCTTCTATTTTCATCCATTTTCCTCTGTTTTTCTCTTTTCATAATTAAATAATTTCCCGATCATGGTCTAAGACTCTACTAGACCTATAAATAAAATTGGGGGATCTACAAATACAAATTTGGCATATCAAAACCATTACACTTTATTCCTAAAAAAAATACTTCCGTTTCATTTTTAATTTTCGTTCCATTTTTAATTTACCTTTACTATTTTTTAAAATATACATTTACTATTGATGATATAGAATATTATTATTGAAATATTTCCTTTTCATTTTTAATTTTCATTTACTTGATGATGTAGAATATTATTATTGAAATATTTATGTTCCATTTTTAATTTCTGTTCCATTGTTTGAAATTGTGAAAGATATATGATATAATTGTGATTTGATTTAATCTACTGTGTAATATTATTGTGAAAAAATTAAAATACAATAATTTGACCATTTCCTTTTTCCATTTTAGTCAGTTATGAATCTTTTTTTCTAGTCAATTATTAATATTTATTTCCTTATCAAATTAACCTAATTTTCATTTATTTTTCCATTTTTATGTTTCAGTCAATTATAAATTTTCATTTCATTTTCCAATTTACAGAATTCTCGTTCTATTTTTAATTGATGATGTAGAATATTATTGTGACATATTTCTATTCATTTTTTAGTTTACGTTCCTTTTTTAATTTACATTTACTATTTACTATTGTTTGGGTGGGAAATCAAGTAAATATGATTTTGTTTTTAATTATAGTATAGATATAGATATAAATTATTTATTTATTATTATTATTGTTATTATTAAGTTAATTTTGTTTCCTTTTTGTATTTTTCCTTTTCTATTGTTTGGGAAGAAGTGTTTGGGCAAGAATGAAAGAAAGATTTTATTTTTTAATAATAAGTATAGATGGATTATTAGCTTAGTTATCATAATAATTATAGTCATTTATACTAAAGGTGCGTTGGAAAATCCAAAAAATGATTTCATAAATCATTTTCTGGGTGTTTAGTGTTTGGCTTGAGAGAAAAATTTTCTGGAAAGCGACTTTTTTTTTTTTTTTTTTTTTTTGGATGAAGTCATTTTCTATTTGCAGCAGTGGAGCAACCAATCACCCACTGCTGCTCACCACCACTGAATACAGCCAAAACTAATGTTGCATTAAATTTAAAATAAAAGTTGATATATTATAAACACAACATTAAAAATGTTTTTTTTTTGGATATATAACAATTAAAATGTTTAAGTATACAATTTTACTTATTTTCTTGTTCATTTTCTGAAAAATGAACCAAATACACAAAGATATTTTTTGAAAAGTGACTCAAATACATAGTTACACGCAAATTATACTATTATTTTTTTATCGGACAAAAATTGTTCTTACATCATTGTCAGACCTGCTCGACCTAACTACAAAGTTGTTGATCATAAATACAATTACACCTGGAATCTAAAACGGTAATACCATTTTCCAAAGAATTGACAATGCTGACATTCCATTAGCTCTAATTGAACAAATTTACACATCAGAATTTATCAATGCATGAAAACTTCTAAAGAAATTTGTAAGTTACTTTTTACTATATCATTATAACAATATCTATTGTAACTATATATTTTGAATTATTTATTATCATCCTCTATTTACAGGAATTGTAAAAATTGTCATTGACAAACTCTCAAAATAATTTGTTTCAACAACGAATGTAAATTAAAAAAAAAATCAATGATTTCATTATTGTTGATGAAAAGTATGTACGCCACTTTATTACTCTTATTAAATTAAATAAATTAGTGGCTACAACAAAAAATAATACAGATGCATTTAATTAATTTAGAATTAGATGTTTATAATGCCTTTATTTTAAAAAAATTATTCATTATAAAAAATTTAAAAAGAGATATAATTTCATTAGTTATATTATCTTTATTTTCTACAATTCAAAGATTCATTACCTTCAAATTTATTAATTTATTATATTTAATACATTGTCCATTGTCTTCTTTTTACATTATCTTGTAATTAAATATCTAAGTTATATGATATCACATAAGTTTTTTTGGTGCCACGATGAAATTTTTTTCTCCAAGAAAGTGTCAAGAATGCAAACGGTCACCGACACACTGTCTGAATGCTCGACGCCCACGGCGACTCATCAGTCGCCGAAGGGCCCTGGTTTCGCCGAACGTAACCCCAAGAAGCACAAGAGACGAAGGGACCACTCAGATCCATCTCTATCATCGCCAATAGTCAATAGCAGACAAGACATGCAAGCTGAGGCGGAACTTCTTTCCCCAGATTCTACACAATGGAGGACTCCTTCAGATACACCAGTCCACGCCTCGTCGCATTCCGTGGTACCGGATTCCCTGGCCGTCGAGGACAACCTAGAAGACGCAGACATGGAATATGACAGGTCAGTACCCAATAACCCGGTAATCCTGATTTCAAAAGAAGAAAAAGAAAGAATCCGAAGACCTTGGCGTCGTTCTCTAATTATTAGAGTTTTGGGTAGAAAGGTGGGCTACTCTTACCTGCTCCAACGCTTGCAGAAGATGTGGAAACCAGAAGCATGTTTTGATTTAATCACTTTAGACCACGAATATCATATTGTTAGATTTGAATCACAGAGGGACTATGATTTCGCCAAATTTGAAGGCCCTTGGAGTGTTCTTGACCACTATGTGGTTGTCCAAGAATGGGTTCCGAATTTCTGTCCGAAGAAGAACAAGACTAAGAAGTTACTTGCATGGGTCAGATTTCCTACACTACCAGTAGAATACTTTGATGAACAATTCCTAAGGAAGATTGCAAGAAGAGTAGGTCGCCCTATCAAGATTGATACTACCACAAGTCTAATCTCCAAAGGCAGCTTTGCTCGGGTCTGCGTAGAGATAGATATTTCGAAACTTTTATTATCCAAATTCACCCTTGAGGAAGAAGTGTGGCCGGTAGAATATGAAGGACTGCATCTTGTGTGCTTTCAATGTGGTCTCTATGGCCATAAAGAAAATCAATGTGGCACTGGTACTGCTCAAAACGCGCATGACCAAACTGTAAACAATGATATTAAGGAGCAAGGCTTACCCGAACAAAGGAATGACTACTCTACGAACTACGGACCATGGATGCTTGTCACAAGGAAAGATCGAAGAGGTCCACGGAGGGGTGATAATCGAGCAACTGCCGGTGGACAACCAGCCGGGGGAAGAACGGGTGGTAACAGCAGGAATAATCAATCACGCTATGGGCCTCTGGCAGACCAAGAAACAGAAGGCGAGGAACACCCCATCGAAGGTCATCAATCTAGCCCCATCAACCAGAACTCGGATGTCCCTTTATCAAGAATTCGAACAGATAGACGAAAGGGCAAAAGCCCTGTCATTTACCCTCAGAACCAAGCTCTTCCTGCGCAAAATGAAATAGGCCAGAACCAACCACAATCTTACACTGGACCGCTTCGACGAGGTGCGTTTAGAGGTAGAGGTGGTACACCAAGGAGGGCAGCAGCTGAAACCAGCATACCGTGGTTCGTGGATCCAATCAAGGCCGCCATATTACTGGCACAACAGTTTATCACATCGGCAATCAACATGAGTTTCCACCTCTTCAAGAGAATGAGGTTTCTCCTAGGAATGATCCTCTGGATATACCCTCAACTTCAGCTCTCCAGATTGATCATCATGTTGATGCAATGACTTCTGATGGCCCGGTGGGACCTGTCCCTATGCGCTCTTGAGCGTGATCCTTTCTCCTCTTTGTTTTTAATGTTTTGTCTAGTATGGAATTGTCAAGGTGCGGCTTCAAGAGCCTTTCGCCGCACGCTTAAGCTTTTAATTAGTGTACATAAACCTTCTTTTGTTTGTTTGTTAGAACCTAAGGTTTCAGGTTATCAAGCTGACAGGATTTGCTCCAGTTTTGGCTTTGATGATTTGATAAGAGTTGAAGCAGTAGGTTTCTCAGGAGGGATTTGGGTTTTCTGGAGGAACTCTGCCCAGGTAACCATTCTTGACACTCACCCACAATTTATTACCATGCAGGTAGACCCTACAACCACAAAATCTTGGTTGTTCTCTGTTGTGTATGGTAGCCCGAATGCACACCTTCGTAAAAAGTTGTTCGCGGATCTCACATCTGATAGCCATCACCCAGATATCCCCTGGTTAGTAGTAGGTGATTTCAACTCAGTGTTAAGCTCGGATGAAACCAGTAGCCCCGAAAACTTCTCCATAAATCGCAGCTCTGACTTCAAAAACTGGATTTTTCGCGAGGGTCTAATTGATTTAGGCTTCACCGGTTCAAAATTCACGTGGAAACGAGGAATTGATACCCCATCCTTCAAAGGGGCAAGGATAGATATGGAACTTGGTAACATAGCATGGAAGATTAGTTTCCCAAATTCGTTGGTCGAACATCTACCAATGATCAACTCGGATCACTCCCCAATTTTAGTCAATTCAGAATTTGTATCTCAGGCTTCTTCAACCAAGTCGTTCAGGTTCAATCTTGCCTGGTCCACTCACCCAAGCTTTCTAGATTGTGTTAAAAAAGCTTGGTGCAAAGGGGGCAACTTGGAATCTAACAAAGCTGCTTTGGCCAAATCCTTAGCAGCATGGAATAAAGGTACATTTGGCAACATTTTCCATAAGAAAAAAAGATTATTAGCTATAATAAATGGTGTGCAATGCTCCTTGGCTACTAGACCAAGGGCAGACTTGTTTAAGCTTGACAGAAAATTACGTATTGAACTTGAGGATGTCTTATACCAAGAAGAGCTCTTATGGTTCCAACGGTCGAGGGAGGAATGGATCGAATCAGGAGACCGCAATACTCATTTCTACCACACAGCCACTGCTACAAAAACGAATTCTGCTAGTCTTAAACATATTAAAGATGAAAATGGGCAGCACCTTACCTCCGACACTCAAATCAGAGATCACATCTTTAACTTCTTTGTCAACTCTTTTTCAGAAATTTGTCCTTTTGTCTCTTCGAATCTGCAGGGTTATTTTCCAGTGTTAAGTCAAGAGGAATGGGCTGCGATTAACGCTACGTTCCAACCGGAAGATGTCAAGCAAGCACTGTTCGAAATGAAACCAAACAAGGCCCCGGGACCGGATGGCTTCACTGCAGAATTCTACCAACTAACATGGAACCTTACTAGTGCCTGCTTAACCAATTTCGCTCTTAGCTTTTTTTGCAGATGGCATACTACCTGAAGCTTGCAACGACACCTTGATTACTCTCATACCCAAAGTCTCGTGCCCCGAATCTGTTAAACATCTTCGTCTTATAGGCCTTTCCAACTTATCATATAAGCTTCTCACCAAGTTAATGGTTATGAGACTGAAAGCAGCTTCTAAAAAGCTTATTGGACCCCATCAGACCAGTTTTGTACCGGAAAGACAAATCACCGACAACGTCATCGTATATCAAGAACTTCTCAACTCAATGAGGACCAAGAAAGGTCCTAGGGGTTAGATGTTACTTAAAGTCGACCTTGAGAAAGCCTATGATAGGCTAGCGTGGGGGTTCAAAGAAGATACACTTCAAGACATTGGTTTTAATTCTCAGTGGACCAGAAACATCATGGCATGCGTGACAACACCAAGACTAGCCATCAATTGCGGTGGAATACACTCTAACTGGTTCCACCCTGCTAGAGGAATCCGACAGGGAGATCCCATCTCACCACTTCTCTTTGCCTTATGCCTAGAAAAACTTATTCATGCTATTAATGTTTCTGTAAATGCAGGTCACTGGAAAGGCGTAATGACAACGCGAGATGGGCCTCTTATATCCCATCTCTTTTTCGCCGATGATATGGTACTATTCGACGAAGCCACGCTTGCACAAGCTTCAGAAATGAAAGCCTGCTTAGAAGCCTTTTGCACCAGCTCTGGTCTCAAAATGAATATCCAGAAATCTTCAGTTTTCTTCTCTAGGAATACTCTGCCTTCCCTCCAAGAATCTAGTACCAACCTTATTGGTATATCCAAGGTGGAAGACCCAGGCAAATACTTGGGGATGCCTTCCATCCATGGCAGATTAAAACAACAAGCTTTCTCAGGGATCCTCGAAAGAGTTCAATCCAGATTAGCCGGCTGGAAATCAAAAACGCTCTCCCTTGCTGGCCGACAGGTGTTAGCCCAATCTGTTCTTTCGGCAATTCCATACTATTCAATGCAATCTGTGCCTCTACCAGCTGGGATCATTGACTCCATTGAGAAACAGATTCGAGGATTCTTGTGGGGCAGCTCAGAAGGCTCAAGGAAAATTCATTTGATCAGTTGGGATGTCGTCACTCAAAGCAAACAATGTGGTGGTCCTGGCATTCGGAGATTAAGGGAAATGAACCAAGCGTTCTTAGCAAAACTTGGCTGGAGAATGCTACACGAAAAAGATAATCTGTGGGTTCGTTTGATGAGATCAAAATATTCAGTTAACAGCGACGATGTGTCACTTTGGCAATAAAAAAGAAACATGTCCCCCATCTGGAAAGGTATTCTTAGCTCCAAACATATCCTCCAGGATGGCATCAAGAGAGTAGTACACAATGGTATGAACACTCTTTTTTTGGATTGACAAATGGTTGGACAGTTTCCCTCTAAGACTTCGTCTTTTAGAAGCAATTCCCCTCCCCGAACTATACAGACCAGTTTCTAGTTACTGGGACCCCAATTTTGGGTGGCGATGGAACTAGTTCAATAGCTTACTTCCAGAAGATATTTTAGACCAATTGACGGCGGTAATAATCAGCAATGATCCAGAGGATAATGATTCGCTAGGATGGCGCCATGAACCCTCTGGTAAGTTTACCACTAGTTCTGCGTATGATGCTGCTTTGAGACCTCCTACTATGGCTAATGATGTCAAGTGGATGAGTATCTGGAAACTAAAAGTTCCCAATAAGATTTGTATTTTCATTTGGACTGCGATGCATGGAAAAATCTTGACTAACAGCAATAGATATAAGAGGTGCCTCTCTGAATGCGACAAATGCATCCGCTGTCCAACCAAGACGGAGGACACACAACATGTGCTTCGAGACTGTCCAGCAGCTAAGGAGGTTCTGGAAATTGTCCTCCCTTATCTTTCGATGGATCCAAACTTGCCTTTTGAAGATTGGATGACGATTGGCATCAGGAAAAGCGGTGGAAGCACCCATCCCTCTAACATATCAACCCTCTTCGCTACCACCTTATGGTGGATTTGGAGGTGGAGGAACGACGCAGTCTTCAACAACCAGGAGAAATCACTGTCCTACAAAGTTGAATGGATCCAAACACAAGCCGAAGAAACGCCTAAAGCATTTAGGAAAACCAGAACTCCCCTCCTAAGTTCATGGTCTAAACTCTGTTGGACGAAACCCCCAGCTGGAATTATTAAAATTAACATTGATGCCTCTGTCGATCTCATGACTAGCAGAGCAGGCTGCGGAGGAGTCGCTAGAGACGATTCAGGTTCTTGGTTGGCCGGTTTCACATACAACATCGGTATATGCTCTCCATTGGTAGCTGAGGCTTGGGCTCTACTAAAGGGCATACAACTGGCAAAACACCTAGACTTCAGGGATGTGATATTCGAAACTGATTCAAAGGAGATCTCTGAAAGTGTCGCTCGGAATCAATAATCTAACAGCGTTATTCAGAACCTTGTAGCGGCTTGCATCCGTGAGTCAAGAACCTTTCATACTTGGCGTGTACTCCCAATCCTCCGTGAACAGAATTCCCTAGCGGATGCACTGGCAACTAATGCCAAGACCCTTCCAAAAGGCATCCACATCTTCAACAGTCCGCCAGATGAGTTCTTAGGCATCCTACAAGATGATATGGATAGTATACCAACCTGGCGTCAACATGTTAATAACTAGGCTTTATTTTTGAGTTTCCCCCTTCCTTATGATAAAAAAAAAAATATCTAAGTTATAATACAAAATATGTTATATATATTTATTTACCAAGTATTTTATACAAATATAATAAATATTAATATTTTGTTCAATACTTTCACATGATAACCTATGACACACATCTCACAATGCATGAAACATGTTGGGAAAAAACAACCACTACCAAATATCAATAGGTGTTTGTAAGACAAAGAGTTAATAAATAGCACAACTAAGATCCCATCATATACACAACAATGCAAATCTAATGCTTCCTACATCATAATCCCATTGCACAATGAATCCATCTATGCTACCACCAGTAACCCAATTGCACATGGCGCACTACCAATTAAAAAAATAAAAAGAGGACATGTATTGATGATGAAGACAATGAAAATGCTACCCAAAAGAGAATTGAGAAGAATTAGAGAAATTTAATCAAAAGTAGTATTTATTTAAACTATCGTTTTTAGACTAAGTATTTAGACTAACGTTATTACAAAGTTGTAAATATTTATTTTAGTGACAATATAATCAATATATATATATATATCTTCCATTAAATCATCTAATTGTGTCATACTGTATAGTTGATCCATTGCTAAACAATGGGACTAGTGAATTGGAGATCACTTCTATGTTATAATGTCTAATTAAACTAATTTAGTCATTGCTGTGTTCACTAGCATGTTGTATTGACTAATTAAACTGATTTGGTGAATTGTTTAGCTCATTTGCAGTGTGATGAAATGGTTAATAGCTCACAGCACCAGGAAATGGAGATCACACCATCAGGTATACTGATTTGAACTACCAGTTGCTCATTTGGTCATTTATTGGTCATTCAATTTAACTCTGAATAATAACACTAATTTGGTCCTTTGTATAGGTAATATACATTGTGATGAAATGGTTAATACATCACATCAGCTGGAAATTGATAACACAACTATGGAGAATGCTTTTGAGCCCCTGCAAAAAAAAAAAAAGAAAAAAAGAAAAAAAGAAACAAGTTCGAAATGAGCCCAAATCAAAGGAAAAAAAGTCACTTGGACTGACCAACTCAAAAACTAAGGTGGCAAAGAGATACAGAACAAGGTCTTCTAACGTAATGAAGTTAAAAAATGACAAGGATTCAGCGGTTGAGATAGACTGAAGTTGTGGACTTGGTGATTTTTTTTTTTTTTTTTTGGGGAAACCAAATCATGTAATTTTGTGGCAAACAAACATAACAAATAACCAAATTTGGTGGTGATTTGGTAATCAAAACTGTTTTATTGTATCAATTTCCTTTTCTTCAATTGTCGTCTAATCTGTGTTGCAATTTCATCAAAAAAAAAAAAAAAAAAAAAAAAAAAAAAAAAAAAAAACAAACACCATTTCATTGAACAAGCAACCACCATTTCAGTAAACAAGCAACCATCATTTCAGCATATTTATACAATTGTCTAAGCAAGAGTGAGCCTTTTCACCACTTCTACACTACAACACTACAAGTCTACAACTGGCATAATAGAAAATCACAACCAAGATTGACAACATAAACCAAACCAACAGAACTCTAAATGAACAATTAAATTTAGAATTCTTCTTCCTAGTAGCAGTAGCAGTAGCTCTTAATTTCGTTTGCAGCCTTTCAATTTCTTCCCTCTCCCCGATTTAACCTCCTTAACAATCCAGGGATGATTGTCTTTCATCTTGAACACATTGGTGGGTCATACCATCTTACAAATCCACACCCACCAACGATCATTCCCTAAACAAAAAACATCTTCATAATCAACAAAAGAAAAAAAAAGTAATCAAATAATTACAAGGGAATGGTACTCTACTAACCCTATCCTTCGTACTCTACTAACACAAAGTAATATGAATTTGGATAGGGAATAATCTATCAATCCAAAATCCGAATTTTCTGGTTCCAAAATTTGATCCGACCCACAGGCCTAGTAGACCACAGTTGAAAAGCTTCTAGAGAGTAGAGAGACTGGTTGCTTAAGTCGATCTTTTGGTTTGTAATGAATTCTCTCGGCGACTTGGATATTGCCGGCCTGGGTGGTTTGGTGTTTTAATTTGCTGTTACGATCAGAGGTTAACTTCCGGTGGTCTCGTGGTTTCCGACGTTCATTGGACGTGGGGAGTGAACGGTGGCTGGCTTGGCTGGATTATTGAAGATGGTTTCCTTGATCTCTGTACTGTAATAATGTTGGGTGGCGCAGTCTCTGGGCTTCTCAAAGGTTGGTGCGTGGCATAATAATTATTGAGTATTGGAATAAATCGCATATGAATTTAATGCATGAGGATTATTGTCGAGTTATTCCTTATTTGGATTATTGCATGGTAATTTAAATTCACCAACGTTGTTTCTTGGATCGGGTAGGGTAGCTAGGCTGTTGATATTTAAATAATAAATATACTTTTAATATATTAATTAAAAATTTAAATTATGATGTATAAACTGAATTGCTGAATATTTTAGTGTTGATTTGAGGTTTATGATGAGAAAATGAAAATTAAACGCAGGAAAGAAAGCCAGCCTTAAATTTCTGGTATTAAAAAAAAAAAAACTTGGTATTTAAAAAAGAAAAGATAAGAAAATTAAGATTGTATAACTTTTGATACGATCTAATCTTCATCTATGCACACTCTTTTTTTCCCCTTTGTTCCGTATATTTTCAATGAACTAGCTGAGCTAATGCCAAATAGATTGGGATTAAGTCTTAGATAGTTGAGTTTGGTGACCGAGTTGCACTAGGAAGATGCTCAGTGATTGTATCTTTGAGATGCAAAAAGATGAACAATTTTTCTCTCCTTGATTTGCAGAAACTGATGTACCAGCAGGAAAGTGATCTTTTTAATTTCAGACTTTCAGAAATTTAACCTTTGTTGCTAGTAATTGGTAGGAGGGATGACCAAAGTCTAACTAATTATCAAGCTCTTTTTGCCGGTTTCCGTTTCCATCATAATTTCTTTGAGTTGGTACTTGAGATTTCTGACACTAACAATAAATGAGTTGTATTGCCATGGCTATCTTTTTAATATTGACACAAAATGTATGAGAAATCATGGATTGATTTTGCCTCTTGGATGATACATACTTTGGTTTCTACAAGTTATTTTAACTGTTAGAGTACAAAGGAATTATGCGAAAGGATTGTCAGGTTTTAACAATTTATTAATTACACTACCATCCAAGAAGTGCATACAGTTTTTATTATATTGTTGATTCTTGCACTTACCAGACTGACCCTTGTGATTTTGTACTGTAGTTTTACTGGCCAATTATACTTTCATATAGTATTATGCTTTAGTTTTATTAGTTGATTAATTAATTAATTAGTGATTTATTGTGTTATTATTTTATTTACACTTTTAGAATATACATTTACTAATTTAAAAGATTAGTTTTGAAATTAAAAAATTAATATTAATTCTATGATTCGTGATCTTAAAATTTGGAATATTAAGTTAATTATTAAAATAAAAAAAATTAATTATCTTAAAAGTTATTGTTGATAAAATCAACTTTTATTTGATAAAAGAGTAAAAAGAAATATTTAAATATATGTAATTTTTAAGTCATTATATATATATATATTTATGGTTCTTTACAATGTAGTATCTGTTCTATACTTTCTCAAACATTTTTAGCCCAAAGAAATCTAAAGTCCCACCACCGGAGTTCGAATCTAAAGTTATTGTATATATATTTTGTGTTATGTGTAAAACTTTGAAGTACTAATTTAATCAACAAATGTACCAATTTTACTCGTACAATTATGTAATTTACTCCTGATCCCACATAATATCATTGGAAACTAATATCAATAATATTTAGTACAATAATGTGGTATTATCCGTGTTAATATCGACTAGTATTGTAAGTTTTATCTTTCGCCCCACATGATTTTCTAGCTTTTCCCGAAGGAGGAAGGTAAGAAGGTGAATGACTAAATAAAAATATAATATACATAGATATGTGAGATAAAAATCCATATATAGTAAATTGTGATGCGATAGAAAATGACATCATGCATGAGTGAGCATGACTCAGTCTTTGAAAATTTTGAAAAGAGTAAAATAATTTTAAAATTACTTTATTAAGTTAGAAAATTGTGTATTCTAATTTTTTATCTCTACTTTAGAAAATAATTATTTTGAATAAAATTTATAATTTTATTTTTAAAAAAAGGTTGAATTTTTTAGAAAATTATATTAGTGAAACCTAACGCGGTCTAAAATCTAGAGCAACTAAATTCTAGCATCCAAAATGAAAAATATTTGGGTGAAATTATTGAAATAAATTTGAAATTATGAAAATTTCAAATAAAGAGATATCTCGTGACAAATCTTAACGATAATATAGCCATATGGTTTGGTGAGCAATTACCAAACCATATGGTTATATTATAGTTAAAATTTATTTATTTATTTATTACATGGTGCATAAAAATTCAAATTAACCTTAATTCATTTTAATCTCTCTTGCCTCATTCAATCCATCCAAAAACTCACAAATAAACTTCAATTGAGATTATTCTAATAAGGTCAGTCTTAAAAATTTAGTACATAGTATTTAATATTACAAATTTTCAAGAACTTAGTAAACTACAATAGTAATTGAATTACAATTTTCAGAGTCACCACGGATCAAAATTTTTAGACCTTTGAGATTTCTAACAATTTTCAGAGTCACCACGGATCAAAATTTTTAGACCTAAAAATTTCTAGAAATCTCA